CACGAGTAAAGGACAAAACGGCTTTGTACGTACTGTACCGAGCTGTTGATGAGTCCGGCTTTGAGAAGATAGCAAATGCTAAATTTTCAAAAGAAGTGTGGGATATTCTGGAGAAGGCAAATAAAGGGGATAATCGCGTGAAGCAAGTCAAGCTTCAAACTCTTAGAGGCGAGCTTGAAAGCATGAGGATGAAAGAGGTCGAAGGGGTTGCCGAGTACATCTCCCGTGTTGAGACCGTGGTGAATCAACTCGGAAGAAATGGAGAGACGCTGCCCACTTGCCGAGTGGTGGAGAAAATCTTAAGGTCGTTAACTGACGACTTTGAGAATATCGTTTGTGCAATAGAAGAGTCCAAGGACTTGTCGGTGCTCTCGGTGGAAGAGCTTGCCAGGTCGCTTGAAGCACATGAGCAGCGGAGAAGGAAGAAGAAAGAGGAGTCCCTTGATCAAGCACTCCAAGCAAAGGCAACCTTAAAGGAGAAGAAGGTTCCTTATGCTCATAACACTCAAGGCCGAGATGGTAGAGGCAGAGGAGAATATGAAAGAGGCAAGGAGCCAGTCAGTCAACAAAACTGGCATGGTCGAAGACAAGGTAGAGGTCGTGACGGTAGAGGCCGAGGTGGTCAGCCAAGCAATTCCGGAGTTGAGTGCTTCAAATGTGGGAAGTACGGTCATTTTGCTAAGGACTGTTATTCAGGTATCAAATGTTATAATTGTGGGAAGGTTGGGCATTTCGCGAAGGACTGCCGATCTGAGAGGAAGAAGGAGACAAACCTCCTCTCTGAGGACACTGAGGAAGAAGGAGTATTGATGATGTCGAGAAGTTCGGATGTCGAGTTAAGTCCGAGCTGTTCTGACAACTCGGTTTGGTATCTTGATACAGGAGCAAGTAACCACATGTGCGGGGACAAGAACCTTTTCAAGGAGCTCACTAAAGTTGAGGCTGGACACGTATCATTTGGAGATGCATCAAAGGTGGCGGTAAAAGGCAGAGGTACAATCTGGTACCTACAGAAGAATAGCCGAGTTGGAGAAATCAGAGACGTGTACTATGTACCCGATCTCAAAAGCAACATATTGAGTATGGGTCAGCTGATGGAGAAAGGCTACTCGGTTCTGATGAAAGACCGAGTACTATACCTGAAGGATAAGTCGGATCGTTTGATTGCCCGAGTAGAAATGAAGAAGAACAGAATGTACAAGTTGGACTTGAAGATAGTCCAAGAGAGGTGCTTGAAACTTGACGTGAAGGATGAAGCAATGATGTGGCACTTTCGGTTTGGCCACTTCCATTTTGGCGGGCTGACCAAGTTGGTAAAGAAAGAGATGGTGCGAGGACTCCTGTCTATGGAATTTGAAAAGAAATTTTGTGAAGAGTGTGTGCTCGGAAAGCATCCGAGGACCTCATTTCCGAGGACGACCAAGTACCGTGCAAAGGAACAACTCGGATTGATTCACACAGATCTTTGTGGATCGATTACCCCTGAATCCTTCAGTGGGAAAAGGTATTTCATTTCTTTTATAGATGATTTTTCAAGAAAAACCTAGGTATATTTTTTGAAGGAGAAATCCGAGGTGTTTGAGGTGTTCAAAAGATTTAAAGCAATGGTTGAGAAAGAGACTGGCATGCCTATCAAATCTGTTAGGTCTGATCGAGGAGGCGAGTTCATTTCATCCGAACTCATGAAGTATTGCGAGGAGCAAGGGATAAGGAGATTTCTGACAGCACCATACTCACCCCAACAAAACGGAGTTGCCGAGAGGAAGAATCGAACCATTCTTGACATGGTTCGAACAATGTTGAGAAGCAAAAATGTGCCAAAGGAGTTATGGGCAGAAGCAGTGCAATGTGCCATCTATGTGCAAAATAGATGTCCACATGCTAAGTTGAATGAGAAGACACCGCAAGAAGTCTGAAGTGGAAGAAAACCGAGTGTGTCTCACCTTAAAGTGTTCAGTAGCATAGCTTATGGTCATGTTCCAGCTCAACAGAGGACCAAGCTCGAAGATAGAAGCAAAAAGTACGTGTTTATTGGGTATGATGAAAAAACCAAGGCGTACAGGTTGTTTAACCCAATAACTAAGAAGGTCATCATGAGCCGAGATGTTCAAATTGATGAAGAAAGCGAGTGGAGTTGGAACAAATCGGAGAATGAGTCCATAGGAAGAAGAAGTTCAGAAGTTGATACACCACATACTGTGAGAGATCACGAGACTTCTGATGAAGAAGATGAACCTCTAAAGCCCAGAGCGCGAAGTTTACAAGATATATACAACTCCACTGACGAAGTGCATGTTGTATGTCTCTTGGCAGATTCAGAAGACTTAAGTTTTGAAGAGGTCGTGCAGGAGAAAAGGTGGAAAAATGCAATGGACGAGGAGATCAGGGCAATAGAACGCAACAACACATGGGAGCTGACTGATTTGCCCAAAGGAGCGCGGCCTATCGGCGTAAAGTGGGTGTACAAGAAGAAGACAAATGCTGAAGGAGAAGTTGAGCGATATAAAGTTCGACTCGTAGTGAAGGGGTACAAGCAGAAGGAAGGAATAGACTATGATGAAGTATTCGCCCCAGTGACAAGAATGGAAACAATTAGGCTGCTGATTTCCTTAGCAGTTCAACATAGATGGGCAATCTTGCAGATGGACGTGAAGTCGGCATTTCTGAATGGAATCTTGGAGGAGGAAGTATATGTTGAACAACCACTCGGATACATGCGAAGAGGCAAATAGAAGAAAGTGTTGAGATTGAAGAAGACACTTTATGGCTTAAAACAAGCTCCACGAGCATGGAATGAAAGAATTGACACTTACTTCAAAAGGAATGGATATGAGCAGTGTCCTTATGAACATGCTCTATACATAAAGAAGAAAGGAGAAGATGTGATGTTTGTTGCCCTATATGTTGATGACCTTATCTTCATGGGGAATAATGTCGAGCTGATTGAAGAGTTTAAAGAAGTGATGAAGAAGGAGTTTGAGATGACTGACTTGGGTCTTATAAAGTATTTCCTTGGTTTAGAAGTTGTTCAAGGAAAGAATGACATCTTTGTGTCGCAGGCTGAGGAGATCTTGAAGAAGTTTAAGATGACAAGTTGCAACCCGGTTTCCACCCCTATGGAATCTGGTACAAAACTTTCTAAGTATGCAGATGGAGACCGAGTTGATGCGAGCAAATATCCAAGTCTGATTGGAAGTCTTAGGTATCTTACAAATACCAGACCAGATTTAATGCTAAGTGTTAGAATAGCAAGTCGATATATGGAGGAGCCAAGGTATACTCATTGGAAGGCACTAAAGAGAATTCTAAGGTATGTGAAAGGAACAGTGTCACTTAGCCTAATGTGTACTAGGACGGATGATTATCGACTAGTAGGGTACTCTGATAGTGACTGGTGTGGAGATGTTGATGACCGGAAAAGCACATCTGGATATGTATTCTTCATGGGAAACACAACATTCACCTGGATTTCAAAAAAGCAGCCCATTGTAACGTTGTCAACTTGTGAAGTCGAGTACGTTGCAGCATCCTGGAGTGTCTGTCATGCAGTTTGGCTTAGAAACCTTCTAAGCAAGATGGAGTTGAAGAAAGAAAAAGGGACTGTGATTCGAGTTGATAACAAGTCGGCCATTGAATTGGCAAAGAACCTGGTCAATCATGAGAGAAGCAAGCATATTGATGTTCGGTTTCACTTCATCCGAGACCAAGTGAAAGAAGGAAATGTGGAGTTAGAACACGTCGGAACCCGAGCACAAGCTGCAGATATGTTCACGAAGCTACTGTCAACCACTCTGTTCGAGAACAGCAAGAAGATGCTTGGAATGAAGGACAATAAAAGCATTTAAGTTTATGGGAGGATTTTGTTAGGTAAACCTTAAATGCATGTGGTTGAAAGGGTAGTGGTTATAGAAGTAGTAGTTATATTGAATGTATGTAGTTGACAGATGTGGTTGTATTGAATATATGTAGTTGAAAGGTAGCAGTTGTATTAAATGCATGTAGTTGAGAGGCCATATCCAAAGGCCTATAAATTGAACATGTATCACTCATTGCAAACACATCAAGTGATAATATACAGAGTGCTTTATTTAGATATTTGTTTGTCAACAAAGGTCTCTTTGCGTCATCTAAGGGTGTGTGCTAAAATGCTCCTTATATGGTTGAAATAGACTCCTAGAACATGGTTTAACAACTTTTGTTCCACTCTCTATTAGTTCTCCTTTATTCAAAGTCAATATGACTCCTCTTTGCTCATCCAACACACACCTACAAGCTTTATTTCTACTTTTTTATGTTGATGATATATGGTTATTACTAGCTCTAATCAGGTATCCATCCAAGAACATAAACAACAATGACAAACCATATATCATATGAAATACCTTAATCACTTGCATTATTTCCTTGATCTTAAGGTTCCCTCTACCTCAAAAGGTATTTTTCTCCATCAGCATAAATATTTCACAAACTTGATCTCTTTGGTTGGCCTTCACTTTGCTAACTTGGTGGATACTCCTATTGAAGTCAATGATAAATATCACCATGATGAGGGTGATCTTTAGTTCAATCTTTTATTATATCGACCACTTGATGGCAGTCTTAATTATTTGACTATGATACAACCTAACAAATCATTTGTTATTCAGTAAGTGAGTCAATTTATGCATTCTCCTCGTCATTTACACTTGATAGTGATTCCATCATATAATTCGCTACTTGAAAGAAGTCACTCAATAAGGTCTATTGTTTCCCACTGGGACAACTCTTAAATTGATTACTTACATTGATGCTGATTAGGTTGGATGTCTTGATACTTAGTAATTGGTCACAAGGTGGTGCATGTTTCTTTGATCCTTGTTGATCTCATGCAAAAGTAAGAAGCATACACAAATTCCTAAATCATCTACCGAATCAAAATATCATGTCATGTCTACTACTTGTTTTGAAAAAATTGGCTCCATGGTCTTTTAGTTGAACTTGACTTCCTTCAAACAAACGCAATGTCTACTTATGATGACAATACAAGTGCTATTCAAATTGTTGCAAATTCAGTATCACATGAGCAAACCCAGTATCAAACCATGTTATATAAATCCCTCACATCAATACTCAATTTTAGGTTGCGGATATTCTTAACATGGCTATCTCACCCACACCATAAGTTTCTTGTTCGCAAGTTGATGCTTTTTGACCCGCCAGATCAAGTTGAGGAGCAATGTGAGTAAGGAATTATTGTCTCATTAATTTTGATTTGCTTTCCGAAGATTAGCCCATACAATTCATTAATTGATTTGTTCTTCTCAATTATATATAATAACATTCCTAAAATACGCTAGACAAATCACATAATAAGATATTCATAATTATGAGTAGTAATATTACTTATAAATGCTCTTATCAATATTTATAGAAGGAGCAATAATGTAGAAAAGCATCGGGCCATTTTCACTAACAAGAATGATGGGTCCTTCTATAAATCATCCCTTCCAAAATATTAACATGTAAAGAAAAAGGTGTTTAGAATAAATATGGACAAAAAAATATTTAAGCCTAGAAAACCAAATGTTAAACTGAGACACAATGGATTGGATGAATATTATAATGATCCTACCAAGTAGATCACAACACATGCATGTCTAAGAGGCTCTTTGTGAACAGAGGCCATCTAAACTAATAATAAGACAAATTCAACTTACAGAACTTCCTCCCATAGCTGGAACAAGCATTAAAGGGATCATCACACTTGTGCCAAGCATCAATATGTAATTTTGAAAGGCTAATAGGATGGTTTCCGCTGCAAGACAAGTCATTCACAGTGAGGGAAGAAGAAAAGTAATAGATAATTGATTTTTCTATATCAACACTTAATAGGACGTAAAAGAGTCACCTAACTTTAGATTTTAACTTTCAAAATATATCCTTTAAATCATGCAGAACATGAGATTGATAGCAATATCACAATTCCCTACACTGAAGAAATTGTTTGCAAACTTCTGCCCAAAAATAAGGGCTAGTTTTCAAAATCTAAAGTGCCACTACATGCTCAGTTCTCATGAACCGAGCAGTAAGAGATACCAACTTGTTGAAATTTGAAGACGTCTAAAATCTACTAATCTGTCTTTCATATTTATTCTCCTCATAGAAACACCAGAACAATATAATGTTCGTTCTTTAGCAAAGGACCAAATGAAAGAAAAACATATATTTCATTCTCAACAAGCAAAAAACAGATGCTGGAGTGAAAACTTACAGCCCATGTAGCACTAAACATAAGGTCATGAAAATTAAAATCAGTATATACTTTTCAATTCCATAACAGGAGTGACTAGATCCTGCAGTTCTTAGATTTAATGTACCGAGTTCCATAAACTTATCTAGCTTCAGATAATCCACTAAGAGAACCCAAGAACCCCAGAACATTAACACAAAAGTAAAACGATTCAAATAAAAAAGGGTAAATTATATATTAATATAAGTGGGGTCATTGATTTAAAGACATAGTCGTGAAGTAGTAGAAAAATGCTTTAAAATGACAAGGGTAAAATAGTAACTTCACTAGAATGCATGATTACTACTTCATTTTGCTATGGTTATCACCCGTCACTGTTTTGTAGCAAAGGACAAGTTGAAATGATAATGAAATACACGTATTTATTATTCAAATAAAAGAATAACCTCCAGAGCAAAGCAAACAGAAAAGAGAACAAGTTCTAAACAAAAAACGAGACAGATCAAGTTTTTTTTTTTTTTTTTTAAGTTAACAGAAAAGTGCAGAGTCCCACTCTATCTCAACGTCAACATAAAGTGTTGAATCCACATTTTCGGGACTAACAACAGCATAGTCTCACGCTTCTAACAAAATGTTCAGTGACATATCACTGGAAACTCCCCACACAAGTAAGAGCTTCAATTCAAGTAAAGCAAAGAGCTTTCACTCATTTCTTCAATCCATTTGAGTTGGTTACGGTAAACGGCAGTAATTTGCCTAAAATAGCGTCGTCAAGAAGCTCGCAAATAGAAAAGGAAAAAAAAATACAAAAACAAAGCTTACACGGTTCACATAAGCAAACTCTTATTTTTCGGACGGAAAGGGACATTTGAAACAAAAAAATAGTGTGTAAAATGAGAAGTGAAATAAGCAAGTTTGAAAGAGAAGAGACCCTTGTTTTTGTTGTGCATGAGTGTGGATCGTGGAAAGTTGAAAAGAAACCCAATAATGAGAGAGAAAGAGGAACATGGTACCCCATGGAGGATTGGAGTCTATGCAGTACTCAAGGTCTTGAAGCTGTTCCATAGGTGGGTGAGTAATGTCAGCCATTGTTGAAGCTTATTCAGACAAAGAATTTCGAGGGAGAAAGAAAACTAAGTAGAAAAACAAACAAAGATGAAAAAGAAAACGAAAGGAAGGAAGGAGGAAGCAGAGAAGAAGAATTCAGAACAAAGTAAAGTGCAGAGATATAAAGTGAACTTAAAAAGCATGAATATTTATTTATATTTATATAATACAATAAATCAGAAAGAAAGGGATGTGCTTCTGTAACGCCCTCTTCTATTCTGTCATATACAAGTTTCGTTTTTATTATTTTTCTATTTTGAAGCAGTGATGATTTACAGAAGTACCCCTTCAACGCAGTTAAAGAAAAGTAAGGTGGGACCAACAAATTCGTATTAAAGGTATCCCCCACGTTGGATTAAAAATCTAAACCAAATATGTTGTGACACATGTTTTTAAGAATTCATCATTTATTTTATTTTAATAAAAATAATTTTAAAGAAAATAATTTTTCTCTTATTATCTCACTTCATTTATTTTTAAATTATTTAATAAAATAATTATTAAAAATATTTAAATAACTTGATATATAAAAAATTTCAAAAAGAATATTTTAAATAATTAATATTTTACTTAAAAATCTCATCAAACAATTACCATTAAACATTTTCTAAACAACTATCATTAAACAAGCTCTAGTATCAAATGAAGAAGAGAGAGGAAAAGCACAGTGGAAGGGGTTACGTTGCTCTATCTAGTCTTCCGAACGAAGTTGAGGAATGTTGTATGTTTTTTTTTCCTGAAAATGCGAACTACAAAATTATTAATATAATCAACCTTTAAATAATTTAATTGAATTATATAAATAGTTATTATTTAACTAACCAATTTTAGTTACTAAAAATTTTATTTAACATAAATAGTTTCTATAAAAAAATGGCATTAATTATATTTTTTTTAGAAGGCTTTAATTAGTGTTAGTTTGATATATTTATTTCTTTTTCATTTGACTTTTATTTTATGATAGTTATATAATTGTATTTTTTAAGTGATTTTTCTCATTTATCTTTACATTTAAAAATAGGATTGATTGAAATGGATAAGTGAATAATACTATAGAATCTAATTAAAACATACTGGATTTAGTTTATCTTTTAATTGTGTTAAATTCATTTTAACCTAACAAAATTCAACGATAGATTGAGTCAGATTTTGTACATTTAACTTAAAAATCAACCTAACTCGATTAAATCAAAACTATTAGAAAATATTCATTCTAATAATATAATTATTATTTAATTATTTTATGATTTAAATAAATATTTTTCATATATTAATTAATATAGTTGTTTATAACACTATATTCTTAACAAATTTTAAAAATTATATATTGAAATTAAAAATTTAATAAAAATATTTTTAAAAATTATGACCCAAATAATTAATTGCAGTCCAATTCATAATATGAGTTAGATTTGATTGAGTTTTATAAAAATAAAATTCAAAAGTCCAATTCAATCAAATAAAAATAAATTAATCGAATAGTATCAAATCTTACGCTACACACCCCTACATTAAAGTATTTTTCTCTGTAATGTACGAAATGTTAATAAAATTAATTAATATAGTTTTATAATTTTATCTTATATAATGGGTATGATAAATTTAGTAACTTCTATACAAGTATTTTAAATTCATAATAAAATTATACACAAATTTTGTTGATAAAATAGATATTAAACTTATCTCATTTTAAAGTACACGCAATTAGAGCAAACAAGAGATTATATATATATATATATATATATATATATATATATATATATATATATATATATATTTTTTTTTTATTAAAAAGTTAAATATATAATATAAAATTATCATTTTAGAAAGCTTTGGTCCATGTTGCCTATATAAATATAATATATATTATGTAAAAAAATGTGACAAGTAATGAACGATAAACGTGAAAAAAAATTAAAATAAAGTTAATGATAAAAATTTCATTAACAATATTTATTATTTTTAAGAAAATAGTGTGCATGTATTCATGCACTGTGGACACCCCTATTTTATATATGTTTATTATTTTATCTAAAAGAAACGGTGGAATAATTAATAGATTTTTAAAATTTTCTCAAGAAGAATTCATATTTTCAAATATTGCATGAGCGGATAAAACTTAATAAATATTTTGGCTCTCTAGATGCAAATCTATAACTAAAACTATTAAAAAAATTATAATATTAATCCAAAAATAAATAAAATAGTCTTGATGTCACAACTTATCAAAGTTTACATCTCATTAAAACCACACTAAGGTTTGTCCCTTTCCTCCCACGTCATCCTTAACATTTGGCTAAACTCACTTGTAAAATACATTCTATCCAAACTTAAAGAAAAAAAAGAATAATAATAATAAGAAGAAACATAGTGATTATTCATACCATGGATACACAAGTCAATTTCCTCCATCATTAGGTAATCATTCTCAGCAATATTCACCAACTCATACTATATATATAAACGTGGTATTATTCAAAACTTTTTTGAAAGTAGCCGAAGAGGACATGCACTCAACCAATAATCACGCTATGTATAATATAGCATTAACACTCTTGATGAAGAGGTATCTTGGTGGTTGTCACCCAACATTCTAGAGAAATACTAACATAGAATAAAACTAGTTAATAATAAGTAAAAGAGTTTAATACGTATTTAAATTATATAAGTGTGGGGAGATTTTTATTACAAAGTTTATCTTACCAATTCATAATATTTTAAGAATAATTTTTGGTTTAAAATAATAATAAGAATATTTTTTTTCTATATCTTATAACTAGAATATCTTTTTAATAAAAAAATTTTAAAACCTTATAAGGTAGACTGTTCTATTCTTGTATCTATTGCATCTTCATAATTCTTATAGATTTGATTCTTGTAATTCCACCTCAATTGAACTCATAAGATGAGAAATTATTACTATTTTGTACCAATTACATAAAAATTACAGTGAAATTGTATATATTGTTCGATGTATAATGTTTTTCAAATAAAAGTGAGTTTTTGAATACTCAATTTAGAATGAATTTTTAAATTATTTGTTTTAAAAATATATTTTAGATTAAATACTCGTAATGCATTCAGATTGACTTTTCTAAAAATATATTCTGATTAAATGCTTTAAAAAGATAATTCCAAAATATATTTTGGACCAACCATTATAAATGTATTTTTAGAAAATCAAATTCACAAAATCTATCATTCTAAAATCTATATTCAGACAATTATATTTAAAAATTTTGTTGTGACTCGTATGATATTGTATATGATAAAAAATATATAAATTAAAAATATTTCAAGAGTCTGATATTTCTTAGAATAATAAATTTTTAATTAATAATAATATCTGAAAAAAAATGAAAATGAGGGTTTAAAAATCAAATAAATACTTCATGTATAAAGAAAAGTATAAAAATAAAATAAGATGTATTTTATTTACAAGAGTAAAGGAAAAACTGTCACAGTAAAAATATACTTTTGAACGTAATAAACTGATAACTCTTAATACAAAACATCAATTAAAAAAATAGATTTTTAACTTTTCATCATAAAATTAATTTGTAAGATATTAAAGAGTCTAACCGAAAACGAGGTAGTACTTCCAACAAAATCATCATAGGTCAGAAGAGGGCTCCACATCCAATATCAATTTTAACTCATGAAAACGAAAATGTCTTTAATCTTAGGTATATTGGATATCATAGTTCTCAATCATGATCACGAAATCGTATCCCATATGCGGCATACTATATATATATATATATATATATATATATAGAGAGAGAGAGAGAGAGAGAGAGAGAGAGAGACGTTAACATGAACAACAACGTTTAATCATAGTTATAGGATATATTTGTTATATAATTTTGGAGTATTTTAAAAAATATCTTTTTTTTATCATATATGTTATTTTTAATGAAAATAACTCCAAATTATTTTAGAATTTTTTTTTTTGTATTTACTGTTTTAAATAAGTTTATCAACATACTGAACATCGTAATAATTAGTTTAATAAAAATCATTTTTTTTAAATGTTGTAAACAAACGTACCCATGATTTGATGTACATAATAATAAAAGCAATAGCACAACGTCAGAACATCAATAGAAGCAGGAAAGTTTGTCTAGAAGAACCCCACTCAATTCAACATTCTCACGTTCAACTTCAAGAAGTGAAAGAGCAAAGCGAAACACCTTCTCAAGCATAGCCATACTGTGCTAAGTTTAACTTATTCCACGTTTAGCCTTATAACACTAAAAAAAACACATTTTAAACTTGTTTTTCTTCTAAATAGTTAAATATATAACTACAAACTCATCTTTTGTTTTTATCATAATAGTAGATACTATAGTAATGCAATCGGAAGGAAAAATAATTAAAAAAATCATAATTTAAAATAAAAACCCATAATAACAAATGGAATATGAGAGTAACGCTTACAAAATTGAGGACAACTTGATTTTTCAGAAAATGATACAACGTATGTTTAAGGCTCACATATGTTAT